CCCGCCCCATCAATCAGGCCCATCCCGGCCCCGCCCCATCAATCAGGCCCCAACTCACCGCATCCCGGCCCTATCCTGGCCCCTCCCCATCCTGGTCCCATCCCGCTCCATCCAGGCCCCGCCCCATCTCGGCGGTATCCTGCCCCGGCCCGGTCCTGCCCCGGCCCGGTCCTGCCCCGTCCCGCCGCATCCTGGCCCCGCACCATTCTGCTCCTGTCCCTCGCCATCTTGGCCGCATCCTGCCCCATCCTTCTCCGCCCCATCCTTCCCGGCCCCATCCTTGCCCTTCACGCCCCGTTCCTTCCGGCCCCCGCCCTATCGACCGGGCCTGTCCTGGCCCCGCCCCACCCTGGCCGTCTAGCAGTGTTTTCCAATGAAAATGCAATGTATGTATTTTAGTATTTGTGATGACAGATGTCACAAAAATAAGTATTAGATCTTGATAAGTGAAGCACGCATTTTAAAGAAAGAATTGCTGTGTAATTTAAAAACCGTTCATCTCAGAGCATAGTACGGATTACACTGTCACTGGAAAAATGGGAATTGAGAATGAGAAGGAAAAGCCTCTGAAGATGCAGAGTTCCTGTTAGTGGAAACACTTTAAAGCCCCAGGTAGGGAGTTTTAATTGGAATTAAAGGTATCAGGGTTCCAAGAACAAATGTGACATCTATTTGTTGTTTTAAATCAACCCAGTGATCTAAGAGAAACCAACAAGCTTCCCTAATGAATAAGATTGACGCTTTGCAGACTCCTCAAGAAAACACACGCTCTTTGAAGTTTATAAATTTTAAATGCTTTCAGTTGTTTTTGTAAAAAGTTGCGTTTATGAACTTCATTTTTATTTCATTCTTTAGACATACATGTTTTGCTTCGGTTCTGTAGAGGAACTTTATCGTGGACCTTAGACCTTAAGTGACGGAACAAGCCTTTTCTCATTCTCTCTCTTTTTAAAAGTAGGAATGGAGGGGAGAATGAAACAGTAAAAGCGGCAGCTATGCGGCAGATGCTAAGAGAACTATGGCAACACCGGGTGACGGCCCCAGCAGTGAGTTGCAGGTAATTTCGGTTCTGGTGTGTAAACCTGTATTTAAAGGCCGTGAACGTCACTGACTCAGCCCAGGGTGGTGGCGCTGTCCTTGGACCTTTGAAGGTGGCCGCTGACGGTGGGGTGCTTAAATAGGGGAAGTGCAGTGTTTGCACGGGTCACAGATGGCGTGCTGAGTTGGGCGTTGTAAACACCGCCCAGGGCTCTGGGGTTCCGTTTTTGGTACTGAAGCTGGTGAAGCAAGCACATTTTCTGTTGTTTGATGAAGTCCCAGGCATAATGTGTTAAAGGCAGGTGGGACGCATTAGAAAAGATTTATGTATTCATACTGCTTTTCTACCTGGGATACACGTATAGTTTCATTCAAGTTACCAGTAAAAAAAAAAAAGTCACCTTAAATTTCAAGGAATGTTGATTATGTAAAATTAAAACCAAATGAATAATAAATAATGTTTTAAAAAAATCAAACATTTTCATGTTTATGATGTCAATTTTAACATTTTTTTCTTTTCCTTCTAATGGTTGCTCAAATTTCATTTGGGTTTTTATATATAAGAATTTTATTTATAGTGGGTCATTTCATTAATCTGTCAAAATTAATTATAAAATGTTTTAATTCCGTGGATGTCTTATTTTTCTTTTGAGAAATTTAAAAATATTGGAACAGTTACAGAATAATATTGCTTACATATTACACAGAAGTGAAAACTTGTTAACATTTTGTCATATTTGCTTAAGAATATATATATAAATATATGTAAATAACAAGACCATAGATAACAGTTTGTTCTCCAACCTCAGAACCCCAGTCCCATTCTTCCTCCTCTGTCTCCAAAGGCAAACACTACTATGAATTATGAATTGATCTTTGTGCTTCTGAACCATTTTTTATACTTTAATACTTTATATAGGCATCCTTGAGCAATATATGATGTTTGTGCTTTTTACAGTTTATCTAAGTGGTGTCATATTCTCTGTGTCATCTGCAGCTTGCCTTTTTCACTAACGTTACTTTTGGGGGGTTTGTCGTTGGTGTGTGTGTAGCTATGGGATGCTGCTGTAGCATGTTCCTTATATGAATGTATCACGTTCACACATAATGTATATAGGTCTGTTGCAGTCTTACTATTATGCAGTGCATGTACACCACATTTTATTTATTTCCCTTTTGTTGGACACTTAACGTTTGCATTTTTTCTCTATTTCAAGCAGTGCTGCAGTGAACATCCTTCTGCAGGTCTCCTTGTGCACATGTACCCTGGGGTATATTCCCAGTAATGGCATTGCAGGGTGCAAGGGATTGCGTGTTTTCAGTTTTACTAAATAGTGATCAGTTGTTCTCCCAAGTGGCTTTACCAGTTCACAGGTCTGCCAGTAGCCCACGTAGTGCTTGCTAACACTTGAGACCATCAGATTTTTACATTTTGGTCAGTCTGATGGGTTAGAAATGGTATCTTGTTATTTTTGTGTTCCTGATTACTTGTGAGTCCTGGTAGTGTTTCACTAATATTTGTGTTCCTCCTCTTTTTTGGGGCGGGGTAAGGAAGATTTGCCCTGAGCTAACATCTGCTGCCAATCCTGCTTCTTTTTTGCTTGAGGAAGATTAGCCCTGAGCTAACATCTGTGCCAGTCTTCCTCTATTTTGTACGTGGGATGCCTCCACAGCATGGCTGATGAGTGGAGTAGGTCCGTGCCTGGGATCCCAACCTGTGAACCTAGGCCGCCAAAGCGGAGCACCGTGGAACTTAACCACTCAGCCACAGGGCCGGCCCTGTGTTCATCCTCTTAATAGCACCCTCCGTTACAGAAGAGATGCCTTATGGTCACAGTTTGTGTTTTATCTTTTTTCCCCCTTGATCAGTCTTTTTCGGGTTTTATTGATTTTATGTTTTCAAAGAAGCAGTTTTGTGTTTGTTGACTTTCTCTTTGTTCATCTATTTTCTATTTCATTAATTTCTGCTTTTATCTCTATTTTATTCAATTCTATTTGGGTTTAATTTTCTCTTTTTATAGCATCTTGAGATGGAAGCTTGGATCACTGATTGTAATGTGATCTACTATGTCTTATAATAATTTTGCTGTACCAGCTTTCTTATGGTTAGTGCTTGTGTGGTACACACATGCACACACACCCATATCTTTTCAACCTAGGTCCTTATGTTTAAAGTGTTTCTCTTGTAAAGAGCCTATAGTTGTGTCATTTTTTTTCCGTCAGATAATTTCTGCACTTTAATTGAAGTATTTAGTCCATTAGCATTTAACATAATGACTGATATGGTTAAGTCTAACGTCTTGCTTCTGTGTGTCACATTTCTTCTTTGTACCTTTTTCCATTCTTGCTTTCTTTTGGATTAATAAAGTACTGCCTGTAATTCCACATTATCTCCTCTGGTGGCTTTTTAGCTGTGCCTTGTTGTGTTATTTTAGTGGTTACTCAAGAGATTGTGACGTGTATCCTTAACCTGTTCCAGTCTTTTTTTTTGACCATTTCGCGATGTAAGAATCCTCCAGATTAGTTCCGTTTATCAGCTCCCATTTTTTGTGCTGTTACTGTAACAATTTTACTTCTATGTTATAAACCCCACAATAAATTATTGTTTCTTTATGCTATCAAAAGTCTTTTTTATGAAGTATAAGAAATAATCTGTTTCTCCGCAGTTTTTCCTTTTCTGGATTCTTTACACATATCACTGGCAAAAATTAAAGACAGTGATAGTGGCTGTTGCTGCTGAGTATTCAGGCTGAAGGTACTCCGTGCGTTGCTGGTGAAGTGTGAGGGGCTACACCCTTATGGAAAGAGTCTGACAAATGTTTGGATGAAAACTGTTATTTGTTTATCCCTGGCAGTCTATCCCATAGAAATAAAATGTCATCACATAAGGAAAACTGTGCACAGACGTTTGTGGCAGCATTGTTTATGGTGGTAGAAAATTAGACACAGGAGAAAGTCCATCGATTGGCGATGACGGAAGAATGAGGCAGAATTCCTGCTGTAGAATATTATATAGCCATTGGAAATTATAAGTTAGAGTTCTAACAGTTGGGGAGTTTTTCACAAGGTGTTGTGTGAGTAAAAGAAGCAAAATTAAAACAGAAGGTCTGTGATAGCCTTTACAAAAAACGACGTCAAAAGAAAAAATAAACCGTGTGTGTGTTTGTATATCACATGAGCATGGAGAAACTCTGGGAGGGTGTACACCAGGGGACTAATACAGACTTCGGATGGTGGTGAGAGGGGGATGATGTGGGTGAGCAGGGACGGGATGGAGACAAGCTACAAAGAACGTGATACTGTGCCCAAACTAATCATGTCCCTCTAACAGGAAAATGTGCAGAGGATACACATGGGCAATTAGCTAAATAAAAAAGAGGACCAGTGAGTACCTAAAACACATGTTTGACTCCATGATAATCAGAGAAAGGCAAATGGAGGTAACAAAGACAGGTAATTTCTCCCCATCAGATCGGCAGAGATTAGAGTGATGAGTCAGTCACCTGCCCTCCCAGAGCTAGGTCCTGATCTCTGTAGGGGTCTAAGGAGCCGCCTTTCTGGAGGGCGTTTGGGGGTGAGGTTGGAAGTCAGGCAGGTATGCGTCCTCTTGATCCACTAATTTCACATCCAGGAATTCATCTTAAGAACATTGTCAGGGCCAGACAAGATGATTTATGTCTAAGAAAGTTCATCTTAACATAATTCATAATCGTAAAAACTGAAAACAGTCTGTGTGTCCAAAACTAGGAGACTAGATAAACATGTTATAATAATTCATAGAATGGAATACTATCAGGTATTAAAAATGTGTTTAGAAGTATATTTCATAATGAAAAATGTTCAGAATTTAATAAGTGGAAAACATCACAAGGCAGAATTGTATGATCCCAATCAACACCCTTATGCACATGTTATATGTACACTTTAAAAAAAAGCCGGGAAGGATATAAATGTTAACGTGTTGACCGTCATTATCTCTGGCCAGTGAGCAAGATTACAGATGCTTTCACACATTTTCTAAAATGAACATGAATTACATCTGTCTTTAAAGAAAATTTGTTTAAAATGTATATATTGGGAGGGGGTTGCCACAGTGAACTGGAACACATGATAGGAGGTTCTGCCACCTCCTGTGGCTGTCTTCCAGGCAAGCCTGTTCTGAAGAAAAGTGGTGGTGGAGCCCTCAGGTCCAGGGGCCTCTCAGGGTCCTGAGCAGCAGGTCAGCAGCAATGCAGTGTGATTGAGGCCGGCTGCTTGCCCCAGGTCGCTGGCACCTTCCATAGGCTCTCATCGAGGCCCGCCCAGCTCTGTCCTGTCTGACGAGGTCTCCAAGTGTAATTCCCTGGAGACAGGGCTGCTTCCTCCTGGGCCGGTTGTCACTCTTAGGGAGCGCTGCTGGTGATCAGGTCTCAGTCACCAAAGACACTAAACGTGCCTCTTCTTGTTCTTTCTGTGACGTTCTCTTGAGGAGGATGCAAATCCTCTTGTACTAGAGACGTGGAGTAAAGGTGGAGTGAGGGTGAGATTGCTTGGTTCTGCTTGTGAAGGTGACCCAAGTTGTTTGCATGATAAAAACCTGGCCACATGAATCTTCATTTGAAACCCTCCTGATAATCTGGAGCCAAAAAAAAGAGAGAGAAAGAAAAAGAAGCCCACAGTCATTCCTTGTTCTGTCTTTGGCTTGAAGCAGGAGGGACGAGAGCCTGTTGGGCATGGTGAAGAAGAGCGCCTCCAGGAGGGTGTGCACCCTGAGGAGTTCGTGGCCATCGCGGATTATTCTGCCACCGATGACACGCAGGTCTGTGTGCGCTTGCTCACATGCAGGGGTCGTGTGCACCAGCTCCGGGTTGTATGCATTCAGCACATTCAGTGACAGAATTAGATGTAAATTTTGCAGAAGTCATGCCAAATTTAAATAAAGAAGTATTCAGATGTTTAGAGCTGCGTGAGACCTGTGAGTGACCCTGCTCTTCCTAGCCTAGGAAATTCTGACCCCAAGCCTGAATGTGAAAGACACCTGGGTAAGGAATGGGGGAGGAAGCACCCGTTCCAGTGTTTGCTTGGAAACCTTGATTTAGAACCTATTCTAGTTAATGAAAGATGAGGCTATAAAATAAAAACATCTACTTGAATGTAGCTTTCTTTACTTTGTAACAGGAATTTCTTAATGTAATCCTCCAGTAACTGAATCAGCTACCAAATAGCTGAGTTACTGGGAAGAGGCTTTTGAGAAATTCTGTCCTAAGCCATTTGAAAATGTTTAATCTTTCTTTTTGGTGAGGAAGATTGGCCCTGAGCTAACATCTGTTGCCAGCCTTCCTCTTTTTGCTTGAGGAAGATTGTCTCTGAACTAACACCGGCACCAGTCTCCCACTATTTCTATGTGGGATGCCACCACAGCATGGCTTGACGAATGGTGTGCAGGTCCATGCCCGGGATCTGAACCTGCAGACCCACAAAGTGCGTACCCAGCCACTACACCACCGGGCCGGCCCCTGTTTAATCTTTCTTTTAAAAAGCGTCAGTTAAGCTGTGCTCTTCTTTCCTGTAGATGTCCCGCACGAGTGTCTAAATCCTGATATCATTTTCATAAATTGTCAGTTGGTGCAATTACCATCGACTCCTTTTTGAAATGGCCGTGATTGGGGCCCTAGTGATGGGGGGTGTATCACTAAGCCCTGGTTGAAATGCCAACTACAGGGTTTTCTTGAATTTTCACTTCCGTATATTTTTTTTCCAGCTCAGTTTTTTGAGAGGAGAAAAACTTCTCATCCTGAGACAAACCACTGCTGATTGGTGGTGGGGTGAGCGTGCAGGCTGCTGCGGGTACATCCCAGCCAACCACCTGGGGAAGCACCTGGAGGAGTGCGACCCCGAGGACACGTGGCAGGATGAAGAGTATTTCGGCAGCTACGGAACCCTGGTATTGCTTTCTGCACTCCCTGTTCACCGCCTGGAGGCTGGTTTCTTCTCTCTAGTTTTAGGTTCTAACTTTAAAAAAAAATATCTGAGCTGCTTCTACTCGTTGTTTAGAGCAGGGCTCGCAGACTTTTTCTCCTGATTAGCAGGCTGTGCGGTCTGGGTCACGGCTTCTCGGCTCTGCCGTCATAGTGCAGAAGCAGCCATGAAAACACAAAGTGGGCATGGCTGTGTTCCAATAAAACTTTATCCATGGTCGTTGAAATTTGAATTTCATATAATTTTCATGTGTCATATTGTTCTTTTGATTTTTAAAAGCCATTTAAAAATATAAAACCCATTTTTAGCTTTTAGGCCATAGAAAAGCAGGTGGTGGGCTGAAACTTTTCTCAGTATTTAAAAAAAGGTGATAAATTTTACTGTAAAAATAAAGTACAAAAAAGTCATATAAATCAACAGTAATACTTCTAAATAACTAGCTTATTAGTTTGTTTTTTTCCGATATGGGTAAAGACCCATAATCCTATGGTCCAGATAACCCCTGTTTATATTGTAAAACAAGATAAAAACAGATACTTGCAGGATAAACGTTGCAAACACAATGTTGAGTGAAAGAAGCCAGATATCAAAGAACATCCAACATTTGATTCAATCGTATAAGGTTAAAAGGCACCATGAAAAGATAGTGTTTATGAATGATGTGTAAGTGGTGAGACTCTGAAGGCGATCAGGGACCCGGTTCCCCTGAGATCAGGGTGGAGGTGACCGGTGAGGGAGGGCCGTGAGTGCAGGGCCACGTGGCGGGGTGCTGGCAGAGTTCTCCTGCTGGTCGTGGGAGTGTTTGCTGGATAACTGTTTGATACACTGTAAGGCACTCTTTAAGGTACTTTTTTGTAGGTATGTCATATTTCACAATTAAAAACGTTAAAATAAATGAAAAACCAGTGATGTACATACATGGTTAGAGCTGTCAGCCTATTAGGAAAAACAGAATGAAAATCCGTAGTCTGTCTCCTCACTCTGCCGCCCCTACCCCGAGAGCCCCACTGCTCCCTGAGGTTTCTTTCAGCAACTGTGTTAATGCTTCTACCAAGTCTAAGCTACATCTGTTTTATTATTTTAAATTTACAGAAAAGGAATAGTTCCACACACACAGTTTTCACCTCATCTTTTCACGCAGCTGTATTGTTTTGAAGGTTTGTTCTTTACAACAGCTGCAGAGTATTATGTTGATTTTAAAAGGACCATGTTGGTGGGTTGCTTATTCAACAGCTTTTTATCATGACTAGCAATGCTGTAGTGGATGTCCTCCTACACAAATCCTGCTAAACTTTTTTTTTTTTTTTTTTTTTTTAAAGATTTTATTTATTCATTTTTTTCCCCCCAAAGCCCCAGCAGATAGTTGTATGTCATAGGTTCACATCCTTCTAGTTGCTGTACGTGGGACTCGGCCTCGCGCTGGACGGAGAAGTGGTGCCTTGGGGCGCGCCCGGGATCCGAACCCAGGCCGCCAGCATCAGAGCGCGCGCACTTAACCGCTAAGCCACAGAGCCGGCCCAACCTGCTAAACTTTTGCTAGAATTCCCATTGGGTGAATTTGTAGGGTGTGTGTATGTGTTTTTTGCTTTGGTGGGTTGTGCCAATTTGCTCTCCAGAGAGATTTGCTGATTATACACCTACCAAGGGTGTGTGAACACTTATGTCACCACCACAAATCATCAAAGTGAAAAAAGATTTCCAGTCGTAAAGGTGAAATATGGTATCTCTTGATTTTGATTTTCAGTTTTTTATTATTTTTTTATCTTTTTATTTTTTGCTGAGGAAGATTCACCCTGAGCTGACGTCTGTTGCCAATCTTCCTCTTTTTGCTGAGGAAAATTTGCCCTGAGCTCATATCTCTTGCCAGTCTTCCTCTGTTTTGTATGTGGGCTGCTGCTACAGCATGACCACTGACGAACGGGTGGTGTAGGTCCGTGCCGGGAACCAAACCCAGGCCACCAAAGCAGAGCACCCTGAAACCAGGCTGCCAGGGCTGGGCCTGGTTTCCTTTTTTTAAAGTGAGATTGATCATCTTTCATATTTATTGGCCTTTCGTATTTTTTCTTCTTTTTGGTAAACTTTCATGCAATTTTCCCATTTTTCTTTTGATTTCTGTCAATTTGTGTGTTAACTAAGCAGCTTAGCCTGTGTGTGTGATGCGTGTCACACTTAGCACTTGCCACTCTTTTCTTCCGTGGTCCTCTTTATCTGGTCTAACTGGTCCTTTTGTTGTGGCTTCTGGGTTTTGTGTTCTACTTTGAGGCCTTCTTCACTCCAAGATTATAAGTATCCATGCTTTCTCGTAGAACTTTTATGATCTTATTTTTAACAATGAAATGTCTAAATCACTCTGGAATTTACTTGCAAACAATGAGGTACAATTCTGCCAGTTTCTCCCCACACACCGTCTGTTGCCGTGTCAGTTTCTGGGTAATCCTCCTTTTCCTGCTGATGTGAGATGCACGTTTATCACGTGTTCGATTTCTAGGGTCTGTTTCTGGAATCTCTCTTCTGTTTCATTCGTCTGTTTATTTCTTCTGCAGTTCCAGGTGCTTCTTATTATTGTAGCTTTTGAACGTCTGGGAGAGCTTGGCCTCTTACCAGTTCTGTTTTTTAGCATTTTCATGGCTAGCCTTGGCTGTGTATTTTTTTGAAACTAAATTTATTATCATTTTGTTGTGCTCCCTCCATACCAAATTGGTTAGCATTTTAGTTGGTATTGTATGCAAAGTGTGCATTAATTTAGGGAGAAGTGACATCTTTTGTAACATCACGCTGACTGTCCCATTTCTTAAGCCTTGTTGTTCTATGTCTCTCAGAGTTTTGAAGTTTGATCATACAGGGTTGTGTACCTTTCTTGTTAAATCTGTTCCTAGATATTTTTGTGTATTATTATTGTAAATGGTTGGGTAAAGTGTTCTGTGAATACCAACGAGATTAAGTTGGTTGATAGTGTTGTTCAAGTCTGTGTCCTTACTGATTTTCTGTCTACTTCTGTCAATTACTGAGAGAAGAGTGTTGAAGTCTCTGACCACGATTGTGAATTTGTCTATTTCTTGTGGCATTTCTGTTGGTTTTTGCTTTGTGTATTTTGAAGCTCTGTTATTAGGTACAAAATATTTAGAATTATTATGTCTTTTTTTTTTTTTTTTTGTGAGGAAGATTAGCCCTGAGCTAACATCCAACGCCAATCCTCCTCTTTTTCTGAGGAAGACTGGCCCTGGGCTGATATCCGTGCCCATCTTCCTCTACTTTATATGGGACACTGCCACAGCATGGCTTGACAAGCGGTGCTTTGGTCCGCACTGGGGATCCGAACCTGCAAACCCCGGGCCACCGAAGCAGAGCACGTGCACTTAACCACTACGTCACCGGGCCGGCCCCTAGAATTATGATGTCCTTTTTCTGCAGTGAGTCCTGTGTTGTTCTGAATTGACCCTCTTCCTCCTTGGGAGTAGTCTTTGCTCTGAAATGTGTTTGGTCTGATGTTAACATGGTTGCTCCAGTTTCCTTCCTCTGGCGTCACGGGACCTTTGCATCCTCGTTCTGACTTTCTGTTAGGTGATTGCTGCAGGCAGGATGCCTGGGTCTTGACTCGTCCACTCCGACAGCCTCCCTCTGTCCTCGCGTTTGTTTTTCGGTCAGCGCTGTCTTTGTGAGGAGCCAAGATGGGCTCGTGGAGGCCCTGTCCAGACCTCTTGTCTGTGCTGACACGGTCTGGGTGGTCTGGCTGTCTGTCTCCTTCTAAGTGGTGCCATTTCTAGGCTGGATTTTCTGCAGCTCAGACATGAGGACTGGGGCGCGGGGGACGGGTGCTGGTGCAGCCTCGCCGGCAGGGGGGATCTGACCACTTCCTGGCTTCGTGAACTGTCTGGAGGAGCCTTCCTCTGCCTCCCTGGGGGTTGGCCCGATTCCCATGGGCTGTGTCCTCGGGTTTCAGATGTTGTCCTTCGTCTGGACGCGGCTGGGGGCCTCACGCTCATCCCCGAGGGTCAGGTCGGTGGGGTGTCATCCCTCTCCACAGCTACCGTTTCTGCACTCCCCAAGCAAATGAAGGGCAGATTTATGTGTGAGAGTAACTGGGCCCTTCTGGGTGGAGCCCGTGTGCCTCTGCTGGCGTCTCTCCTGGTAGCTTGTCCGTGTTCTCTCTTGGGAGACACTTGTCAAGTTGTGTCTGGTCGGGAATGCAGTGGTTCCTCCCGTCTCCAGTGGAAACAGTGGTCAGGAGGGTGACGTCTGCGCCGCCTCTCGAGTGCTCCGTCCACACCCGCTTCTCTGCTTACCTGGCTCTTGGGGAGGTTCAGGGAGCAGCTGCAGGCAGCACCACACTGAGCTGGAAGGATTCTGGAAATTTCCATTTCCTTCCTTCACTGTCTACTCTTATTTTTATCCATTGACATATTTTGGTCTTTTGATTTTTTTAGAACTCTTTGTTGCTCATGTTTTTAGGTGTAGGGTGGTGGAGTCAAGGGAGTGGGCTCAGGCTCTGATCTTCCATCGTAAACCAGGGATCAGCAAAGCTCTGATCACAGGCCATGATTCTTCATGTCTGTTTCCTCTAGAAACTTCACTTGGAGATGTTGGCAGACCAACCACGAACAACTAAATACCACAGCGTCATCCTGCAGAATAAAGAATCTCTGAAAGATAAAGTGATTCTGGATGTTGGCTGCGGCACCGGGATCATCAGCCTCTTCTGTGCGCATTACGCGCAGCCCAGAGCAGTAAGTAGGAACAGCTGTCCCTTCAGCGCCTTCTGAGCCGGGTCCCGGTGAGGTGTCCTCTGTGTGTGCGAGGTACTGTGTCGGTGAGACGGGCAGTGTGTGCTTGGAGGCTGAGCCGTCAGAGGCCGTGACATGGGTTTAATGAGTCACAAACAGCACAGAGTGGAATAGGACAGAAAATAAAACATCTGAATGAGCTGCATGTAGTGGGATATTTTTTTGTGAAATGTTTATTTAAGTTAAATATAGAAGCACGTGTGTCCACATGTCTGGGCTGGGCCACTTGGGCAGATCACCATCCAGGTGTCGTCTCTGCATGACTGCCTGGCAGGGACAGGACGGACCATGCTCTGTGATGCGTGCTGGACGCCCTTCGTCCTCTTCCCTATAAAGCATGTCTGGGCTGTGCAGAGTTGCAGCCTCGTGAAGGCCCTGACACAGGTAGATGGAATTCCTAGTGTACAGGTGAGACTGCAGTGCAGTGACTGCCTGGGTCCAGATCCCGCCAGCATCAGGATGTAAAGCTCAGGACCTTCCTCTAGGAACCTGGATTTGAAATTGTCTCAGAAGCCACTGATATCCTGAAAGTCCAGCTGTTCTCAGTTGAGTGCCAGGAACTTCCTGGGTCAGTTATGGACTGTGTTGCTGTGCGTCTGGGGGCCGGGCCGCTGGGCCTTATCCAGGAGGGCCCCTGGGGCGGGCTGCCCTGTGAGTGTGCGGAGCCTCTACCCACCTGCGGCCCTGTGTCTGCATCTTAGGCAGAAGACAGAGTTAGAATTAGTGGCAGCTCCCTTCCAAGGACTCTCTCTGGTGGAGATGACACACCATGGCCTGGCTACTGTCACTGCTGCCACACCTGCTTCCTTCTGTCACTGCCGTTTGCTGTTTTCTCTTATGCTGGTTCTGACTTGCCAAGGCGACTTAGGCTCGGGGAGAGTAGATGACAGGCCGCTGTGCGGGGCTGGGACAGGCACTGATGGTGCTTCTGCCACGTGCAGGTGTATGCAGTGGAGGCCAGCGAGATGGCCCAGCACACGGGCCAGCTGGTCATGCAGAATGGCTTTGCCGACATCATCACCGTGTTCCAGCAGAAGGTGGAGGATGTGGTACTGCCGGAGAAGGTGGATGTGCTGGTGTCCGAGTGGATGGGGACCTGCCTGCTGGTAAGGAACTGCTGGGGTGGGGTGGGGTGGGTGGTTGGGCTGGTGTCTGGAATCTTAACAAATCGTGATTAATTTTGACTTTTTTCCTAAGGTGATATGTTATTGATTTCTTAGCTCAGTGTCTTGAATTTTTAACTGATTAAAAAAATGCCTTTATGAGAAATCTAAGTCAAAGTTAATGTAACTTTCTCATGAGTGATTTGCATAAAGTCTGTTCTCTTGGGGAACCTGTGACTATCCAATACTTACTGTCTTGGGCTGTTTTTTTAATACCAGCAGAGTCTTTGTCTCTTTTCCCCAGCCTGGGTCTCCCCTCTCCCTGCAGCTCCCTAATTAGCATAAAGGAGACCCAGCCTGGAGTTCAGGCTCCCCCGAGTCACTCTCCCCCAGGCTCACACAGATGGGAGTGGACAGTTTTCTGGTTCTTCTCCCACTCTCCCTGTTCAATGCTTTGTGTGCTCACAAACTCTGAGCTTAGAAGGCAGGTGAGAGGTGAGTGGGAGCCAGGCCTTCAGGTCTGCAGCTCCTCCCACCTCTGCCTATCCCTCTCCTGGGCTCAACATCTCGGGACCTAACATGTTAAAGTGAAACATCCCAATCTGAAATTTATTCTGTAAAAATCCAGAAAAATAACATCTGAGAAGAATACGGCTGATGTTTCCAGGAATAGATCCATTTAAATAATAAGCAGACAGCTGTCGAATGTTGCCGCAGCTCCTTATAGATTGCAGAGATTGAGGGAGATGACAGCAAATGACCTTGGGCCTTTAACCCTGTTGAAATTATGTTGTCTGAAGATAAAGTGTACGTAGAGTCAACATCCATGATAATTTGGCTTGTTAATAACCCCTGTGGATTTATAAGATGATACACAGGGTAAAAAGGAACCAGCTACACCATTAATCCATGAAGTGGGCATTGGCCTTTGCCCCCCAAACACCAGCATTCATTCAATAAATGTGTATTGAGCCTCGTGGCCATGGGGAAATGGGGAGCCAGCCTGCGGTGGAGATGTGTCCCCATGCCCAGGGCAGTTGGGGGCAGCCTGGGTGCCAAAGGTCCAGCTCTGCTCCTGGCCGGGTGGGAGGGATGTGGGAGGCAAAGAGGAGGGTGGGGGGAAGAGGGAGGAGGAGGACGGTGAGAAGGGGGGTTGAGATGGTGGGGTGGGGGCAGGGAGGAGAGGGGGATGGGGGCAGCATCCAGCCTGCGGGGGCTGCAGCCTGGATTTGGGTGTGCTGGGCTTCGTCCAGTGGGGCAGGCCAGTTTAGGCTCTCTGTGTCCCTAGGACTTTGCCATGTCTTAGGCCACCAGGAGCTTTTAAGGGGTGGAGTAGAGATCAGCTTGTGTGTGGGAGACCACACTTGGTATGCATGGGCTGTAGACTGCAGGGCAGGGGGAGGGGGCGAGAGTGGGTGGGGAGGATAGCGGGGACCCCTGGGGGAGGGCGGGCGGGGCCTTGGGGGCAGCCCACTGGACTTGGGAAGGGTGGCTGGGTGCAGACTCTGGCCGGTGGGTTGGGTGGGTTTGCTGTGTTGGAGGCAGAGGACAGGCCTGGTGGGGGGGGACTTGCTGATGGGGGTGTGGACATAGCGGGCCTTGAACTTGAGGGGGTGGCGAGGTCTATTCCACATGCAGGTGCAGGTGTGGGTTTGACAGAGGGGAGTGGATGGTCCGGAGGGGCAGCCTGAGCCGAGCACCTGGAGGAGAGCCGTGGCTATCATGTTAAAGCAAAACCACCTGGCGCTTTTCCTGGTGCTGACCTGCCCGGTGCTGACCTGCCTGGTGTTGACTTGCTCGGTGCTGACCCACCTGGTGCAGGGCAGTGGTGAGGACAAATGAGGGGGTGGCAGCAAGTCACTCAGGATGTGGAGCGGAAGCAGATGGAGAGGCTGGAGGCCGGGTTGCTTCGTGCAGATGCCCAGGGACGTCCTGTGGTAACTGTTGATGACCCGGCCCCCTGCGGCTGCCCCTCTTCCCCTGTGCTTCTGACCTCCTGGATTCCACTCGACCTGTTGGTTATCTGCAACATTTGTTTATTTATTTATTTATTTTGTGGGGAAGAGTAGCCCTGAGCTAACATTTGTCACGAATCCTCCTCTTTTTTTTGCTGAGGAAGATCGGTCCTGGGCTAACATCCGTGCCCATCTTCCTCTACTTTATGTGGGATGCTGCCACAGCATGGCCTGACAAGCGGTGTGTAGGTCCATGCCCAGGATCCGAACCTGCCAACCCCAGGCTGCTGAAGCAGAACAGGCACCTTAACCACTACGCCACTGGGCCGGCCCGTATCCACACCATTTATTGAAGAGACTCTCCTTTCCCCATTGAGTATTCTTGGCTCTGTTGTCACATGTTAGTTGACCATGTATGCAGTGTGTACGTTTGTTTTTGGGATCTCTATTCTGTTCTGTTGGTCTATGTCTATTTTTGGGCCAGTACCACACTGCTTTGATTACTATAGCTTTGTAGTATAGTGTGAGATACCTCCAGCTTTGTTCTTCATTTTCAGGATTGCTTTGGTTATTTGGGGGTCATTTAAATTTTGGGATTTTTTTTCTATTTCTATAAAGAATGCCATTGGAATTTTGATAGAGATTGCTTTGAATCTTTTAGATTGCTTTGGGTAATAGGGACATGTAAACAATATTAATTTTTCCTATCCAAGAACACAGGGTATCTTTACATTTCTTTGTGTCTTCAGTTTCTTTCATCAATATTTTATAGTTTTCAGTAAACAGGTCTTTCACCTCCTTGGTTAAATTTATTCCTAGGTATTTTATTCTTTTTGATGCAATTGTGAATGGGATTGTTTTCTTAATGTCTCTTTCTGATAGTTCGTTAGTGTATAGAGATGCAACTAATTTTTGTATATTGATTTTGTATCCTGCATCTTTATTGAATTTATTAATTCTAATAGTTTTTTGGTGGAGTATTTAGGGTTTTCTGTGTATAATATCATGTTATCTGCAAATAGAGACAGTTTTACTTCTTTTCCAATTTGGATGCTGTTTATTTCTTTTTCTTGCCTGATTGCTTTGGCTAGGACTTCCAATATTATGTTAAATAAAAGTGATGAGAGTGGGCATCTTTGTCTTGTTTCTGATCTTAGAGGAAAAGCTTTCAGCTTTTCATTGTTGAGTATGATGTTGAGTATGATGCCATGGGTTTGTTGTATGTGACCTTTATTATGTTGTGGTATGTTCCCCAGTACCTATTTATTACCATGGAATGTAGTTGAGTTTTATCAAATGCTCTTCCTGCATCTGTTGAGCTGATCATATGATTTTTACCCTGCATTTGGTTACTGTGGTGTATCACATTTAGTGATTTGCTATGTTGATCTATCCTTTTGCCTCCCAGGAATAAATGCCACTTGATCATGGTGTATGGTCTTTTTAACATACAGATCTTCCTTGACTTACAATGGGGTTACATGCCAATAAACCCATCATAAGTTGAAAATGTTGTAATTAGAAAATGTGTTTAATACACCTAACCTACCGAACATCATAGCGTAGCCTAGCCTACCTTAAATGTACTCAGAAAACTTACTTTAGCCTACAGCTGAGCAAAATAATCTAACATAAAGCCTGTTTTATAATAAAGTATTGAGTATCTCATGTAATTTATTGACTACTTTACTGAGAGTGAAAAGCAGAATGGTTGTTGGGTACAGAATGGTTGTAAGTGTGTTGGTTGTTTGTCCTCGTGATTGCACGGCTGACTGGGAGCTTCGGCTCAATGCCACTGCCCAGCATCATGGGAGAGTATTGTACCGCATATCGCTAGCCCGGGAAAAGATCAAAATTCAAAATGTGAAGCACAGTGTCTACTGAATGTGTATGGCTTTCACATCATGGTAAAGACAAAAAATAGTAAGTCAAACCATCGTAAGTTGGGGACCACCTGTACTGTGAAATTCAGTTTGCTAATATTTTAAGGATTTTTCCTTCTCTGTCCATCAGAGATATTGGCCTGTAATTTTCTTTTCTTGTAGCATCCTTGTGTGGCTTTGCTATCGGGTAATGCTGGCACTGTAAAATGACTTTGGAAGTGTTCCTTCCTCTTCAATTCTTTGGAAGAGTTTGAGAATGTTTGGTATTAATTCTTCTTTAACTGTTTGGTGGAATTCACCATTGAAGCCACCTGGTCATGGACTTTTGTTCGTTGGGAGGTTTTGGTTACTGATTCAATCTCCTTACTAGTAATTGGTCTGTTCAGATTTTGTATTCATGATTCAGTCTTGGTAGGTTGTATGTTTCTAGAAATTTATCCATTTCTTCTAGGTTGTTCAATTTATTGGCATATAATTGTTCGTAGTAGTCTCTTATGATCCTTTGTATTTGTGTAATATCAGTTGTAATGTCTCTGCTTTCAGTTGTAATTTTATGTATTTCAGTCCTTCTCTTTTTTTCTTGGTGAGTCTAGCTAAAGATTTGTCTATTTTGTTTATCTTTTCAAAAAACCAGCTCTTGGTTTCATTGATCTCTTCTAATGTCTTTTTAGTCTCTATTTTATTTATTTCCATTCTAACCTTTGTTATTTCCTTCCTTCTAATAACTTTGGGCTAGTTTGTTCTTCTTTTACTATTCCTTGAGGTGCAAAGTTAGGTTGTTTATTTGAGATCTTTGTTTTTTCTTACTGTAGGCGTTTATTGCTATAAACTTTGCTCTTAAAACTGCCTTTGCTGCATCCCATAAGTTTTAGTATGTTGTGTTTCCCTTTTTGTTTGTCTGAAGGTATTTTTTTATTTCTCTTTTGAATTCTTTGTTGACCCATTGGTTGTTCAGGAGTAGGTTGTTTAATCTCCACATATTTGTGAATTTTCCAATTTTCTTCTTGTTTTGGATTTCTAGTTTCATAGCGTTGTGGTGAGAAAAGATGCTTGATATGATTTCAGTCTTCTTAAATTTATTAAGACTTGTTTTGTGACCTAACATATGATCTATCCTGGAGAATGTTCCATGTGTGCTTGAGAAGAATGTGTGTTGTGCTGATGCTGGATGGAATGTTGGATGGGATGTTAGTCCATCTGGTCTAACATATAGTTTAAGTCCAGTGTTTCCTTATGATTTTCTTTCTGGATGATCAATCCCTTGTTGAAAGTCCCCTACTGTTACTGTATTGCTGTCTATTTCTCCCTTCAGATCTGTTAGTATTTGCCTTATATCTTTAGGTGTTCTGCGTTTTGAGGTTTTAATTGAGATTTTACATGACTCTATTTTCTCTCCTTTCTTAGCATATGTCATACTCTTTTTTCTTTTTTAAGTGGTTTCCCTTCATTTTGCAGTATACATTTACAACTCATCCAAGTCCACTTTCACATAATGCTATACCACTTCATGGGTAGTGCGAGTACCTTATGATTATAAAATAATCCTAATTTCCCCCTCCTGTCCCTTGTATAATCATTGTCATTCATCTCACCTATATATGAGCATCCATAAACATATATATACATACGTACATAAGCATACATGGACATGGTCAATTACTGTGTTGCTGTTATTTTGAACAAATCGTTAGATCAATTAAGAAGAAGAAAAATAAAAGTTTTACTTTCACTTGTTCTTTATTCACTGCTTTTATTTCTTTATGTAGATCCAAGTTTCTGATCTATATCATTTTCCTTCTCTCTAAAGAACTTCTTCTAACATTTCTTGCAAGGCAGGTCTACTGGCAACAAATTCCCTCAATTTTTGTTTGAGAAAATCTTTGTTTCTCCTTCACTTTCGAAGGATAATTTGGCAGAGTACAGAATGCTAGATTAGTGTGTTTTTCCTCTCTACACTTTAAATATTTCACTCCACTCTCTTCTTGCCTGCATGGTTTCTGAGGAGAAGTCAGATGTAATTTTCTTTGTACTCCTGTAGGTAAGGTGTTTTTTATCTCTGGCTTCTTTAAGGACTTTATCTTAGAGTTTCCGTAGTTTGAAAATGCTATGCCTGGGTGTGCATTTTTTAGTATTTATCCTACTTGGTGTGCTCTGAGCTTCCTGGATCTGTGGGTTGGTGTCTGACATTAATTTGGGGGAAATTCTCATTCATTATTGTTTCAAATATTTCTTCTGTTCCTTTCTCTCTTTCTTCTCCTGTATTCTCACTACATATATGTTACACATTTTGTGGTTGTCCCATGATCCTTGGATATTTTGTTTTTCCAGCCTTTGTTCTCTTTGCTTTTATGTTTTTGAGGATTCTATTGTCATATCCTCTAGCTCAGAGATTCTTTCCTCTGCTGTGTCCTGTCCACTAATAAGCCCGTCAAAGGCATTCTTCATTTCTGTTACAGTGTTTTTGATCTCGACCATTTCTTTTTGTTTTTTCCTTGGGATTTCCACCTCTCTTTTTGCATTGCCCATCTGTTCTTCTCTGCTGTCTACTTTATCCTTTAGATATCCTTAGCATATAAATCATAGTTGTGTTAAATTCCCAGCCTGATAATTCCAACATCCCTGCCATATCTCAGTCTGGTTCTGATGCCTGCTGTGTCTCTTCCAACTGTATTTTTTTGCCTTTTGGTATGCCTGGTAATTTTTTCTTGATAGTCAGACATGATGTACTGGGTAAAAGGATCTGTGTAAATAGGCCTTTAGTGATGTGGTGTGAGGTGTGGGGAAGGGGAAGTGTTCTATGGTCCTGTCAAAGGTCTCAGTGTTTCAGTGAGCCTGTGCCTCTGGACTGTGAACTTCACAAGGTTCCTCAGTTTTTTCTCCCCCTTAGGTGGGACAGGATGTCTAAAAGGGGCTGGAGTTGGGTATTTCTCCTTCCCCAGCTCAGTTAGGGCTCTGGTAAAACGCTCGCAGGTAGGCTCTGGTTAACTAGTTTCTCCTGAGGGCAGACCCTGTTGAGAAGAACAGAATACTCTGGCATATTTCAAAGTGATTCCTTTTCTCCTGCCCTGTCAGAAGCATGAGGGGATTTTCTCCAGTATTTACTGTAGGACCCTGGTGGAGGTCCAGGAGGTAAAACTCACAAAAGTGTAGGGTCCCCCAGTGACTGAGCCCCCCTGGAGCTTTTAACTCTCAGTTGTCCATGCTGAGCCTCCAGCAACTCGTCACCTGCAGGTCAGGTTTCCTGCCTCAGCACTGGTGTCTGGGGAGGCTTCTGCTCTGGTGAGTTGTGGTTCCCTATGTTGGCCTGTCGATTTCTCCAATTTTGGAGGCAGCCGATTGCTCTGTGACCTCATTTCTCTTACAGATCTAAGAATAGTTGTTGGTTTTTCAGTTTGCTCAGCTGTTTACTTGTGAGGACAGGGTGGCAGAATAAAAAGCTGCCAAGCTTTTTATAGGCTGGGCTGGAAAATTTGGCAAAATTCAACTTTAGTTCATGATTAAATTTTCAACAAGCTAGGAATAGAAGGGAATTCAGTCAACCTGGTAAAGGGCATCTACAAAAAACCTGCACCTGCTTAATGGTGAAAGGATCACTGCCTTCCCCCAAGAGCAGGAATGGGGCAGGACCACTCTGCCATTCCCATGCAGCATTGTTCTGGAAAACCTAACCAGTGCAAAAGAGAAAGGAGAAATAAAAGGACACGGACTGAAAACAAAGAAAGAAACCATCCCCTTCTCAGACAACGTGATTGTCTTTGTAGAAAATCCCAAGGAATCTCCAAGACATTTCTTAGAACTAATAGGCAGGTTTAAGATCACAGAGTGCAAAGTCAGCACACAAAAATTGGTCATATTTTTATATACTAGCAGTGTACAATACCATTTACAGTTGTCTTTACATCACAAAATACTTAGAAATCCAATAAAACATGCACAGGTTCTGTATGCTGAAACTGTGAGATGCTGTGAAAGAAGTCACAGAAGACCTAAATAAGTGGAGAGATGTACGGTGCTCATGGACTGGAAGACACTCTGGTAAAGATGTCTCTTCTCAAGTTAATCTATAGATTTAATACAATTCCAATAAAAATCCAAGCAGGATTTTTTTTGTAGATACAGACAAGCTCATTTGTAAAAATAAAATGTGGAATGTAAAGAAGCTAGAATAGCTGATAGAATTTTTAAAAGAAGAATAAAATTGGAAGAACTATACTACCTGACTTTAAAACTTAGTATAAAACTACAGTAGTCAGCACAGTGTGCTGTTGGTAGAGGGACAGACACATAAGTCAATGGAACAGAGTAAAAAAATAGACTCCTACAAATATGGTCAATTGATTTTAACAGAGGAGCAAAATCCGTTTAATGGAGAAAAGATAGTCTTTTCAATGAATGATGTTGGAACAGTTGGCCATCCATATGCAAAAAAAACCACTTCAACTTTAAGCCTCATACTTCATACAAAAAAATTAACTCGTAATTGATTATAGATCTAATTGCATAGAATATAATACTTATATTATTATAAGTATTATAACTTTCAGAAGAAATCATAGGAGAAAATCTTCATGGGTTAGGCAAAGAGTTTTTAGGTGTGACTCCCAAAGCATGATCTATTAAAGAAAAAGTTGATAAACTGGACTTCATCAAAACTAAAAATATCTGCTCTGTAAAAGATAATGTTAAGAGAATGAAAAAACATGCCAAGATTAGCAGAAAATATTTGCAAATCACGTATCCATTGTGTATCTTGAATATACAAAGAACTCTCAAAATTCAACAGGAAGAAAAAAACCTAATTGAAAAATGGGCAAAAGACTTGAACAGATGCTTCACCAAGTGGATATATGGATGACAAATAAGCACATGAAAAGACAGTCAACATTATTAGCCATCAGGGAAATACAAATTAAAACCATAATGAGATATAACTACACACCTATTGAAATGGCTAAAACTTTTAAAAATACAATATTGCCAAGTGCTGGCAGGGATGTGGGTCAACTAAAACTCGTAATGGTGGGAATATGTAATCATGTAGCCATTCTGGAAAACAGTCAGGCTATTTTTTATAAAGTTAGAGGTACACTTACCATATGAGCCAACAGTTATACTCCTGGGTATTTACACTGGAGAAATGCAGGCTATGTTCACACAGAAATCTGTACGTAAATTTTATACTAGCTCTAATTATAATTGCCAAAAAACTGAAACCACCCAACTGTCCTTCAACAGGTGATAAACAACTATGGATAAACAACTGTGGTACGTCCACATGATGGAAGACTAGTGAGCAACAAAGCGGAATGAACTCTTGCTACATGGATGACATGGACAAACCCCAAAAACGTTATACTGGAGTAATTAAAATTATATAGAGTAGTTAAAAAGTGTGATATTGTTACAAGAAAAGATAGATGAACAGGATAGAAAGCACAGAACAGAACTTTTTAGTATACGAAAAAGTTGGTATTGTGAGTGAAAGAAGCCAGTCTCAAAAGATTATGTACCGTATGATTCCATTTATATGACATTCTCAAAAAGACAAAACCGCAGGGATGGAGACCAGATCGAGGATGTGACGACAAAAGGATAGCATGAGGAGTGTTTTCGGGTAGCAGAGCTGTTCTGTATCCTGATTGTGGTTGTGGTTACACAGATCTATGTAAGTGTTAAAATTCATAGACTGTAACCAATTTACTGTATGATAATTTAAGAAATAACATGAAGAATTATACGTACATAGTTTTCACGTGTGTAGATTTGTGTGTGTGTAAAGAAAAATCCTTGAAGATAAACTGCCGAGTGATGACAGTGGTTCCTTCTGGGTGCTAGGTTTACTCATGGTTTTTATTTTTGTTTGTGCTTTTCTAAATTTTTCCATACTGAACATGTATTACTTCTGTAATAAAACCTGCCTGAGGTTATTTAAGAAAAACAAAACCCGTCTGTGGCTTCCCATCAGCTACAGGATGCAGGGCCTCTGGCCTCCGCCCTGCTGCCTGGCACGCCTTCTGGTTCAGACACACAGCCTGGCCTCTCGGGGCTGTTAACGTCCCATGTCCTCAGTCCTAGAGGGCACGTGCCCCCTGTGCTGGGGTGTTCTGAGCACCGTGGGGGGCGTCGGCCGCTCTTCTGACTTAATGGACGTGAACCTCCGTGGCCCTCCTGATTTGATGTTTCATGTTTGTAGGAAGTGATTTCAGTCAACTTAAAGGGTTGTGAAAATTTGGAGAATACCCCAGAACAAATTGATCTTGTTTGACAGTTAAAACCGTGTAGCACTTAAGGGCTCTTAAAAATGTATTAGCAACTAACTCCTGAGTGACCGAGGTGGGGGCGAGACTCAAGGTTTCTCCCGACCTTCAGCCATGTGCCAATTCTGAATTATAACGTGACTTGCTGTGACATAAATCCAGGCTGACAGGAATCGGTGACCCCTGATATGTGGGTACAAGGTGAATCCTCCAGGACGTTGGCTGGGCAGCGCTTACCCTGGCTGGTAATACTCTTGAGGGTGACACTTAGAAAGATCCCAGACTGTCTGAATGCAGCCAGGGAGGTCTTCGCAGACTCGGGCCTCAGTCACCGTGTCTCCTGTGTGTCTCCCTCCCGTGCAGTTTGAGTTCATGATTGAGTCCATCTTGTACGCCCGGGACGTGTGGCTGAAGGAGGATGGGGTCATCTGGCCGACCACGGCCGCGCTGCACCTGGTGCCCTGCAGTGCGGACAGAGACTACAGCAGCAAGGTCCTCTTCTGGGACAACGCCTATGAGTTCAACCTCGGCGCCCTCAAGTGAGTGGCTGCGGTTGGGGCGCATCCAGGCACTGCATGGGGCTCCGGGCGTGCGGACTGCAGGCTTTCTAAGACACAGAACCACTGTACTCTTGCAGAGCATGCCACAAATAATCTAAGTTGACTCACATGCCTGAGAATTTTGCACATTGCCTTTAACGCCTTCAAACTGGCAACAGATGTGATGGGAATTGGAATTTTTTTTGCAGTGTGAGTTCCCCAATATAATGGGAAAAATAAGGTCATGTTTCAAAATGAGGCTGGTGTAAATGTGCGGGCTGTTAAAACACAAATGTGCGTTCCCACTAAAAGCTCTAAATTTTTAATAAGCATCAGAAAATGTATTAGTGAAGTCATTCCTTGCATTTTGCAAAGAAAGCAATTCTCCAAAGTAGTTGATTTCCTGATTTTTAACATGCAGACACACTTGTTGAGTTAAGCTTCAGGTTCTAACATAAAATGATTTCCTGATAAGGCCTTTACATTTCTAATGTTGCCTTTTCTGAAAAGAATGGTGACATAAGTGGGCTGCTTCCTCTTCTGAGGGTACCGTGAGAATTAGGCAGAGACCCAGCATCTGCCCTGGAAGGTAGGGAAGGGCCTCTGTTTGTCAGAAGCTGCAAGAAACTTCGGTTCGTGCAGTGAGGACCAGATGAGCCTGGACGCCTGTGAGACACCCTGATGGGGAGTCAGCTGTGGGACGGGGCCTCTGGGCCTTTTTGTTTTTTATTGAAAAGTTTTAAAAAAGAGAAAATAGTAACATAAAGGTATGAAAGTTCCCCAGTTAATGTGTTGTCATGGTATCCTCCACCCAAATCCCTGAGGGGGGTGGGGTGAAGATCCCTGACAGAGCTGTCCTGTAGTTCATCCAGGAAACAGTGGGTAGGAACGGCTGGGAAGGTTCTGAGAAGAGCAGTGAGGAGGTTCTCATGCTGCCAGGCATCAGCGTCCCCAGTAGTCAGAGTGATTGAAGCCACGTGGTCCTGTGACCAGAAAAGAGAGCAGAATAGGCCTGGAGGCAGTAGCAGGCGTCGTGCTGTGTGGAAGAGGTGGGAGTGAGGGCCAGGGCAGCAGATTATTCTGGGACAGTTGTTTAGCCCCTTGGAGAAAGTTCTTTTCTTCTCTCACATCATACATTATTAAAATTTAATTCCACGTGGATTTAAGAGTTTTGTGTTAAAAGATCTGCATCAACTACAGGAGTCTTTGGGGGCCTGTGTGTCAGGTTCTCGACGGAAAGAAAGTCAACACAAACAGAGAGGCGCTGGACTTCATTTTATAAAGATGGACAGAATCTATGTGTCAGAAAACAGCAAAAATGTAATTAAAAAAGGCAATGACTACATACTTAGAGAAAGTTACTAGCTGACAGATCTTAAGAGTCAATTAGAGGGGGCCGGCCCCTTGGTTTAGCGGTTCACTGCACACACTCCGCTACTGGTGGCTCAGGTTCCGATCCCGGGCGCGCACCGACGCACCGCTTCTCTGGCCATGCTGTGGCGGCGTCCCACATACAGCAACTAGAAGGATGTGCAACTGTGACATACAACTATCTACTGGGGCTTTGGAGAAAAAAAGGAGGAGGATTGGCAATAGATGTTAGCTCAGAGCCGGTCTTCCTCAGCCAAAAACAAAAAAGAGGAGAATTGGCGTGGATATTGGCTCAGGGCTGATCTGCCTCTCACACACACACAAAAAAGTCAATTCGAAAAAGATGAATACCCAAATGAAATTATAGCCAAGTCACAGAACAGGCGAGTCACGAAAACTAAATAAAATTACCAATAAATATTTGAAAAAAATTGCAACATCATTAATAATTAAAATGAATGCCATTTTTGCCCACTAGATGAGTGAAGATTAAATTAAAATAGAGTCCGTGCTGCATGAGCTGCGGGTGAATAGGACAGAACACTGTCTGCCCAGAGCTGTGGGTGTGGGGACTTTGTAGGGCAGGTCCACCCCACCACCATCAGAGCCTCTGGCTGAGAATGTGCATCACAGGGTCATGGCCTGGCTGGACCATGGCTCTCCATAGAAGCCTGGTTAAAATGCTGTATATCCGTCTGATAGAGTATTGTGCCACTGTTTAAAAAAAAAACCGAGTGTTTTAAGAATATCTAATGATATTAGTGTTAAGAGAGAGCAAAACAGGGAAGACACACACCATTTATACAGAATGACTCCTGTTTTGCACAAATATGTGTACATGTACATATGTCTGTGGGGAGAAAAGTCAGTACATCAAAATGCTACTGCAGGAGTGTGGCGGATTTAAATTTTTTCTTTATACTTTTCTATATTTTCCAAATTCTTTATAAATGCATAATTATTTTTATCATCAAAAAATATTAAAAATATGTACATACAGTGGAATCTTTATTAAAACGTTTACTTTTATTTGCTATTTCTGAAGTTACTGCCGTGCTTAATTTTTGAAACATTTCTGTGGTAAATAATGGATTACCTTCTGGCAAGCACGGGGTTCAGCCGGTGAAATGGGGGGCTGACAGGCAAAGCGCCCCTGCAAGAGGCCCCACGTCTGTCTCTGTGTTTAATTTATGTCGAGACAGCACAAGGGTTTCTCCTGAGGGTCGAGCTCAGGTGGGCACCTTCAGTCCTGCTGATTTACTACGTTTACTTATTACAGAGTGACTCACGCAGGAATATCTTTTTTATTTGCTGTGTAATAGAAGATCCCTGAGAGATATTTTGAAATGAAATAGATTCTAAAACCGAGAACACACTGCGGCTCCCTTGTCTTCTAGGTACATGGAGCACGTTGGTTTCTATGTGTTCAGACCCCATGAATAGGACAAAGGGAGGTGCCCTGTTGCTCACACCTCCGGCAAAGGCTCCGGAAGGCTGTGTGGAGCCCAGGCTGGCAGCAGGGAGGAGGGACACAGGGCCCTGGGGCCGTCAGGGTTGGGCCCTCGGCAGCCCTGCCTCTGCCCTCAGGCCGTAGACAGTGATTTAGAATTCCTGCTGATACAGAAGTGAGAAAGCACAATGTCACGCATGTGTGTGTCAAACCTGAGATGTTGGTAAACGCATTTGAGCAATTACTTTGACCTTTTCCCCAGATCCTTAGCAATTAAGGAGTTTTTTTCGAAGCCCAAGTATAACCACATTTTGAAACCAGAAGACTGTCTCTCTGAGCCGTGCACTATATTACAGCTGGACATGCGAACTGTGCAGATTGCTGATCTAGAGGTGAGAAAAGATGACTGCTTCCTTCTCACATTAAATAATTGCTGCATGCATGCGAGAAGCTTGTCATACAAATGTGCAAATTTGCTAACTTTTTGCTGTGGATTTTCCCAGTATTTTTTTTTAATGTTCTAATTTTATCTTTTATGTTTTTACGTTATTTTCTCCATAGTTAACCTCTTTAACATCTTGAATTATTTTTAGATTTATGTTTAATATTCTCAGAATCTTCATATTCGCATAAATTATATCTAATTTCATCATGGAATTTGAATCAAAAAATTTTTAAAGTTTTTTTGGCTATCGATGACAAAATTCTTAAAATTCTTTCTTTTATTTACCTCTTTTGCCACGAGGTGGCGTGTGTGGATTCAGGATGTGACCATTTTAAGGGTGGCCCTGAGGCAGAGGAGCAGGTCCCTGAACCCCCTTCTGGAACTTAGATGGGCAGGACTACCTGAGAACAGAGCTTTTGAAGCTTGAGTCAGTTTTGGCGTTGAGAAGACCCAGCCTGCAACTATTTATGCGATGAATTGAGAAGAGCAAGTTTTCTGCTTGAATTTGGGGGTAGAAAATTAGGAAGATGAGGCCCACATTGCTTGAAACCTTTTCTGATTATCTGCAGCCTTTGAATTCACGATGCAAGTTTTAATATTTACTTTCCCCAGGAGGAATTTCATGTGGTTTTTAATGTATTCAGCTAAACTAGCAAGTTATAGAGTTGTTTCATAGTTACTGAAATAGATGGTATGCTGCTTCGTTCAGCGTAGTGTTGTGGGATTTGTGAAATGTGGCCCGCAGAGGACAGAGTTGCTCATTCTCACTCACCGAGAGCCGAGGCGGCCTCGTGTCGCGTGCCTGTGGAACCCACCGGGTTTTCTTATTTGTTTGCTTGAACACAGACAATGAAGGGCGAACTGTGCTTTGATATCCAGAAAGCTGGCACTCTGCACGGGTTCACAGCCTGGTTCAGTGTTTGGTTTCAGAACCTGGAGGAGGACGAGCCGCAGCTGGTGCTGAGCACGGGACCCTTCCATCCGTGAGTGCTGCTCCCCTCCCTCGGTGGGTGGTCGTGCGAACACAGTGGCTCTCGGAGGAGTGTGAACGATTTGCCTTAAGTTGTTGGTCTGACAGAAAGCATGACAGAGTCCTGAAATGAAGATCCAGTAATGTCAAAAGTTGACCTAAAATCTCCAGACCAGGCTGACCCCTGGGTGGGGAGCTGCGGCCTGGAGCCAGGGTGTGTGGGTGGTGGGTGGGCGCTGGGACACGCTTGTGTGCAGGTGAGTCTGGGGTGTGCGCCCCCACTCACCCCTGTATCGGGCTTCCGGGGGCTGCTCCCGGACCCCCTGGATGACAGACACAGGGCTGCGGGAGGAGCAGGCTTCGTCTTTTCTCAGTTGCCCTAAAGGCTGCCACAGCCTTTTATAGTCTCACACCAAAACAGTCAACAGAACCCTAGGGGCTTTTGCTCAGACTCTTTGGGGAAGGCAAATGTTTCTTGAGACAGTTTTTGTGTGGTAACGTTTTGTGGTTGTGTGCTTGCTCACGTGCGGGGGGAGCTGACGTTTCTGTGGTGCGGGACCAGCAGCCCTGTGGAGACACCGCCTTCATTTAGGGGCTCTCATTGCCCTTCTCAGCACCTGCCCTCGAGACGCTCCTCAGACATGGCAGTCGGGGGAAGTGAGCAGGGCACGGGGGAGGGGGTGGCAGACACGCCTGGGCTAGGTGCTGGCTGTGGCATCTGGGCCTGGAAGGACCCCAGCGGTCCCTTTGTGAAAGGAGAGCAGGCCGAGGGGCTGTTTGCCCAGAGCGTCCTGTGGAGACGGCTGCGCTGGGACTCCGGCCAGTCGCCCTTCCAGAGCCAGCGGCACAGATGTGAGCTGCCCCCAGACGAGGGCAGGAGCCCTAGAAACCAGCAGTGAACAGTGGTGTGCCTGGGTGGGTTTTCCACTTGAGCGTCTGCTGTGGGGTCGTGTCTGGGGTGGTGGGTGGGGAGCAGACGGGGTGCAGAGCCCGAGGACACGCTCAGTGAGGGGCCGTGGCGGTTGAGGAGGAGTGGCCTTGAGTCGGGGAGGATGTGAGAGACGCGGAGGGGGAGGCGGCCGCGCCTCGCTGCTGGGCGTGACCATGGGGCCCACGCCAGGTGCACTGGGTGGAGGAGAGTGTGGGCACCTCTGGGCGTCAGAGCTTGCAGAGCTTCAGGAATCCTAGAGGGTAACTGTTTGCCCCAAATGTCACAGTTCTCTTGCCCACATTCATCCTAACTTTCAGAGAAGAAGGACTTTTTGGGACATGATTTCATCAGTGTAATTCCTGCTTTAACTGCAGGAACCAGAACCTTGGGCATCAGTGGCTTAGAGAAGGGGGCAGGCTGGCTCGGGGTGGATGCCCACTGTGCGAGGATGCGGAGGCTGGGTTGACTGTGTGAGGGACCTGGGGAATGGGCACCACATGGGGACCCTGTGTCTGGCCATGCGCCCTCCGGGCCACCAGGGTGAGCTGCCCTCGCCCTGTCTGGAGCCTGAGAAGGGTCCAGGAGCCGCGTCCTCACTGGGCTGTCTGGAGTTGGCCTTGTTGTGACGACTCCGCCATCCCATCTGGCTCACAGGACTGGGGTGCGTCCAAGGTGAACCTGAGAAGTCGGGCTCCCGGAGAGGAGCCAGCGCCAGGTAACGCCGCGCTCCCTGTCTTGCAGCACCACCCACTGGAAGCAGGTGCTGTTCATGATGGATGAGCCCGTCTCCGTCCACAGGGGAGACGTGGTCACAGGCTCCGTTGTGTTGCAGAGAAACCCAGTGTGGAGGAGACACATGTCTGTTGCTCTGAGCTGGTCCGTCACTTCCAGACAAGACCCCACGTCACAGAAGGTAAGATATTTAGCTGTAAAGTCATATGCAGTGGTGCTGGTCCTGGGAGACAGGTTTGTGGTGACGCAGTGGTGGACACTCGTTCCCACCCCAGCCAGACCCCTCGGCCACATCTCATCGGCGTCATTTTTCTAATCCTTGGGCTGGGGAGTGGGTGCTGTTTTTTATAGAGCAGGAAAGAGGTGCAGGAAGGTAAGTCATGTCCTCTGACACAGCTAGTCAGTGAGAGCAGAGACCCACACCAGCCAGGGGGCCGCCCCTTCTGCACGTCCAGGGGCCCCAGGTGGAGGGAAGGGGCGGAGGGCTGAGCCACTGCTCAGCCTTCCACGCGCCGTGGTGCCTTCAGCAGTGTGTCGTGTAGGTGTGTGGTTTGGGAGTCAGGTTCTCACTGGAGCAGTGATTTGAGGACAGAAGAGCTGTCGTTCCCATGAGGAAACAGTGCATCCAGGTGGGGGCCTGAGGCTGCTGAGAAATGGATTCCCTTCTTCAAGACTCAGGGTTAATGTAGGAGAGAAGAGAAAACAGTCAGTGGTTTCCCTTGTTTTTTAATACCTGTTTTGTGCTTTACTTTATGATAATTTTATGTTAAAAGTTTAAATGTTTGTCATTTAAAAAAAGATTCTGCACCTGAATGCCATTCTCTTGTCCAATAGTAAATTATTGTTAGGAAATACTGCATGTTAATCAAACCGAAACAATTTCTTATTTGATTGATTTGTTTTCTTTGTCCTTTTCAGGTTGGAGAAAAAGTCTTTCCAATCTGGAGATGACAGCTGATGTTCTCTGGGAAGCAGTGCATGTATTGGAGGAGTGAACATGAGTGAATGAAGACGCACCTGATGTGAATGAACATTCCTGTGAAAGCTCGTGAACTCTCGCTCGCCTGGAAGGTTGTAACACCCTTACCTGTGGGCTCCAGGCCATCGTCAGGGTCCCCCACAGACAGATGTGCGTGGGCTCAGCGAGAACTGCCCTCGCCACTGTCCCTGCCCGTGTCTGTCCTCTAGAAGGAGGCTGTGTTTCCAGGTGTCCACCAGTGGTGTCCACAGTGCTGACCTGTGGGTGAGTTGGTGGCATGGTGTTCCTGAGCTAGTCTAGTTCTCAACTCGTAGGACACACACATCAGCCTTGTACCCCTGTGAAGTGACTGTTGATGCGTCCTGTGTTAATGGTTCCTTCCTGCCCTTGCTTCATCCACTCAGCATGCAGAGCGTGGGGTCGCACAAAGCCGTGCAGGACGTGGAGGTGGCGATGCATGCGATGGGGCTCTGCATGGGATAGTACAGTTGTAGCGATGTCTTCCAGGTAAATTACGTGTTGGATATAGTACATGCTCAATAAATATTTTTAAATGAATGTTGGTGTATATCCTATTTCTATGCATATACATTAGTTTTTACAAGCAGAACTCATACTATATGCATTACGTTGTAACCTTTCTCATCTATTATGAAGAAACTTCTGTGCTGTCTACTTTTTTGTGTGTGTATTGTTTTGATTTTTAGTTAGCTTTCTATTGAAATATAAAGTATATACTCCAAACAGCGTAAGTCATGAGTATACAGATGGATGAAATTTCACCAAGTGGACACACATGTAACCAGTGCTCTGACAAGACCTTTCAACACCCGGCAGGCCCCAAGTACCCCTTCCACTCAGTACCGCTCCTGAAGGTGATGCCTGACTTCTGACACTATAGATTGCTTTTGCCTGGTGCTGAACATTGTATGAATGGAGTTATACATTGTGTGTTTGCTATGGACTGAATGTTTGTGTCCTCCCAAAATTCATATGTTGGAACCTAATTCCCAAGGTGATGGTGTTAGGAGGTGGGGCATTTGGGAGGAGGTTAGTTCATGAGATGGAGCCCCTGTGAATAGGAGTAGTGCCCTCATAAAAGAGACCCCAGCGAGTGTCCTGCCCCTTCTGCCACTAGAGGACACAGCAAGAGTGGCTGTCTGTGAACCAGGAAGTGGGCTCGAAGCAGACACCGCGTGGGCCGGGGCCTTGGTGTTGGCCTTCCAGTCTCCAGGCTGTGAGAAATAAACTTCTGTTGTTTGAGCTGCCCAGTGTCTGGTGCTCTGTCTGGCAGTCCATAGGGTCTAAGTGCTCTCACGTCTGCCTTCTTCAGTGCACGTATGTTTGGGAGCTTCATCCGTGAGTTGTGTAGTGTGTTGCCTTCTCATTGCTGGGTAGTCCACTGTTTGAATGTTGCACAATTTATGTGTCTTATTCCACTGTTGGTGAAGTTGGGTTGTTTCCAGGGTCCAGCTGTTTTGATTGGTGTGAATGTGAACATTTCTGTATGTGTGTTTTCATTCACATAGGTATGTACACATTTCTGTTGGGTATATACCGAGGAGTCAGCATTATTAGAAATGACCAGACAGTTTTTCAAGTTGAAGAACCTTCTGTCGCTTCCAGCAGTGCGTGAGGTCGCAGTGCTTCACATCCTCATCATCAGCGCTGCACACCCACTGTCGTCTGTGTTTTCATTCTACCCTTCTGGTGGGCGTATGGATTCTGTGCCTTTCCCTGGTGGCTGACGCAGCTTCCTGTGTTCCCTGGTCATTGGCTGGCCTGCTTTGGGAGTGCTTCTTCAAGTTTTGTGCCCATTTTGCTATTAAGGTTGTTTGTCTGTTTCTAATTAATCTTGCAGGGATTCTTGATATAATCTGGCTAGGAGTCCTTTAACATTCATTTATTTTGTGTGTGTCTTCTAACCTGTAGCTTGTTTTTCACTCTCTGTAGAGTAGTTTGATAAACAGAAATTCTTAAGTTTTATGTTGTCCAATTTGACATCATTTTTCTTTCAGGATTAGCATTTTTTGTGTCCTATTTAAGAAACTGTGCCTATTCCAAGATGATAAAGATATTCTACTATATTCTCTTTTACAGCTTATATTGTTTTATCTTTTGCACTTAGATCAGTACTCCCCCTGGAATTGATTTTGTCATTGATGGGAGGGAGGGGTTGAGATTTCTTTTCCCCAAGGAGTAGAAGCTTAGATCATCGATTTCCAAGCTTTTTCCTTTTCTAATATGTGAATCAAAACTGAATTTTCCTCTAGAGCTGCTGTAGCTGCAACAACATATTTTGATGTATTTTCAGTATCACGCAGTTGCACATATTTTCTAATTTCTGTTGTGATTTCTTCTCTTGTGCCATGGATTATTTAGAAGTGTGTGGCTTACTTTCAAAAAGTGGGATTTTCTAGTAATCTATTCCTGTTGATCTCGAGCTTAATTTCACTCTTGTCAGAGAACAAACTGAGTGATTTCAAGCCTTTTAAATCTCTTGATCTTGTTTGTGACTCAGCATGTGTCAGTTGTATGCGTATGTACTTGAAAAGAATTTGTATTCTACTCTGAGTGCAGAGCTCTAAATATATCATTTAGGTCAAGTTTGTTAATTGTGTTATTCGGGTAGTTGGATCTTGACTGATATTTTTGTCTGCTTATTCTATCAGCTACTAAGAGGGAGGGTTAAAAGTCTCTGTCTTAGTCTGGTCAGGCTGCCCTAACAAAATACCATAGGCTGGGTGGCTTAAACAATAGGAATTTATTTCTCAGGAATGTTATTTGCAGGAATTTAGTTCTGGAGGCTGGGAAGTCCAAGATCAAGGTGCCAGTGAATTTGGTGCCTGGTGAGGGCCCTCTTCCTGACTTGCAGAGGGCTGCCTTCTCGATGTGTCCTCCCATGGTGGGGACAGAGGGAGCTCTCTGGCGTGTCGTCTTGCAAGGACACTAATCCTATTGGATCAGGGCTCTACCTTTATGACCTCATTTAACCTTAATTACTTCCTGAAAGCCCGTATCTCCAAATACAGTCACATTGGGGGTTAGGGCTTTGCTATACAGTCATTCGTTGCTTAATGATGGGGACGTGTTCTGAGAAATGTGTCATTAGGTGATTTCGTAGTTGTGTGAATATCATACAAATCTAGATAGTACAGCCCACTACACACCTGGGCTCTATGGTACTAATCTCATGGGACCACTGTCATATATGTGGTCCATTGTTGACTGAAAGGTCATTATGCAGTGCACAACTGTACACTGTTTGTGTCCCTGCAAAAGTCGTATGTTGAAACCTAATCCCCAATGTAATGGTATTTGGAGGTGGGGGCTTTGGGAGGTGATTAGGTCATGAGGGTGGAACCCTCATGAATGGGATTAGTGCCCTTATAACAGAGGCCCCAGAGAGCTCCCTCATCCCTTCTACCATGTGGTGACACAGTGAGAAGATGGCCATCTATGAACCAGAAAGTGGGCCCTCACCAGACATCAAATCTACTAGTGCCTTGATGTTCGACTTCCCAGTCTCCAGACTGTGAGAGAGAAATTTCTGTTGTTTATAAGCTACCTAGTCTGTAATATTCTGTTATAGCAGCCCAAACAGACTAAGACAGAACTCAACCAATGAATTTTGGTGGGACACAGTTCAGTCCATAACATTCTGTCTTGCATGCAAAATACATTCACTCCATCTCAACAGTCCTGGAAGTCCTAACTCACTCCAGCATCAACTCTAAAGTCCAAAGTCTCATTGAAATATCATCTAAACCAGACATATGTGAGACTTGGGGTAGGATTCATCCCGAGGCAAATTCCTCTCCAGGTGTGAGGCTGTGGCACCAGACAAGCTGTGTGCTTCTAAAATGCAATGATAGGACAGGTGTAGGGTAGACATCCCCATTCCAAAAGGAGAGAATAAAAGGGTTACAGGGTCCCAAGCCTGTCTAGAACCTAGCAAGACAAATCCCGTTAGCTCTTGAGGATGGACAGTAATCCTCCTTGGTCTGGTGCTCTGCCTGCCAGGCCCCCGCCCGTATGGCTCTTGGTCACCACAGTTTTCTTGTCTTCCCAGCTGGTGACTGTAGATGGTTTACTTGTTTGCTGCCTTTTTCTTCTCTAAATGTAGGTCCCACAAGGCAGGTGTTTTGTCTCTCTTGTCCCGTTCTATTTTCCCAAGCACCTGCCTCCTGGCACATGCTCGAGGAATGTTTGTTAAGTGAAGGAATTGTGTTTGTTACAGGAGGAGCAGAGAACAATGTGAGCACAGAGGGAAGTGTTTAGTGCGTTTCTAAACCTAGGCCAGGTCAGGTAGCCAAAAAGCTAAACAAAACAAAACAAAAGCAGCAAATAAGAACACCTTCTCCTAAATTACTCTTAGGTCAGAGAGGAAATAAAGACTACAGTTACAGACGCGTGGATAGAAATAAAGGCAGTATCGGTTGCACAATAGTGACTTAAGGCATCAGTCAAACTTGTATTTAAGCAAAATTTGTGAATGTTTCACATCTGCTTTCTAAAAGTAGCTTTTTTTGAGATTTAATTTACATATCATACATTTCACTCATTTAAAGTGTACAATTCAAGTGGTTTGTACTATATTCACAGAGTGGTGCAACCATCACTACAATCTAATTTTAGAACATTTCATTAGAAACCCCGTACCCATTAGCAAACACGCCAATCTTTCCCAACCTCCCCACTCCCAGCCCTAGGCAACTGCTAATCTACTTCTGTCTGTATGGATTTGCCTATTTGGGACATTTCATATAAATGAAATCCTATAATATGTGATAGTTTTTGACTGGTTTTTTTCAGCATTTAGCATAATGTTTTCAAGGTCACATTGTAGCATGGATCAGAACTTCATTCCTTTTCATGGAAGAATGATATTTCACATTTTGTTCATTCATCTGTTGATGAACATTGGGGTTGTTTCCATTTTTTGGCTATTGTGAACAATGCTGTTATAATTGTTCCTGTACAAGTTTTTGTGTGGACATATGTTTTCATTTCTCTTGGGTCTATACCTAGGAGTGGAATTGCTGGGTGATATGGTAACTCTGTGTTTAACTTTTTGAGAAACTGTCAAACTATTTTCGAAAGTGGCTGTGCCATTTTACATTGCCATCAGCAAGATATGAGGATTCCAATTTCTCCACATCCTTGCCAGCACTTGTTTTGTCTTTAAAAAAAATTATTATTATAGCCATCTCAGCAGATATGACATGATACCTCATTGTGGTTTTAACTTGCATTTCCCTAATGCCTTACGATGTTAAACATCTTTTCATGTGCTTCTAGTCCATTTCTACATCTTCTTTGGAGGAATGTCCATTCAGATCCTTTGCCCATTTATTTATCTTATTGTTATTGAGTTGTAAGAGTTCTTCATATATCCTGAATACAAGTCCCTTATCAGATATGTGATTTACAAATATTTTCCCCATTCTCTGGGTCCATTTTTCACTTTGCAGCACAGATGTTTTTAATTTTGAAGATATCCAATTCATTTTTTTCTTTTGTCACTTTTTTTTTTTGAGGAAGATTGGCCCCGTGCT